CGGTAGTCGACTAATTGCTCGAATTCTAATGCAAATGGGTTAACGTGTCGTCACGACTAATGCTCGTGGCTCACGCACGCTCTGTTGCGAATGCAACCATAAACTGTCTCGTTATCGTCGGCCATGCGATTCCGCGCGATTATTTCGACCCCCGGAGGAAACAACCGGTCGATCCGTGACTTTCCATCGAGTTTCGGTTTTATCTCGCCCACGACGCGACCGGAAACCCGTTCGGTTCGACTTTATTCCATACCATAGAATCGATGGAGCAGAGAATTCCAGTCGTGGCTCAGGCAATTTCGAGTCTACGGCGCCATCTTGGAAATGTCATGCAGCACGAGTGCGCGGAGCTTTCATCATTCTAGACCCTACTGTCACGTCCTATTGAGTATTTTTATTTGAAATACTCTGATACGAAGGATAAAATCGTATTTTTGATATCTAGTCGTATCTAGTAACTTGGAACTAAGTTCGAGTCTGTGACGCCATCGTGGACATGTCACGAAGGTGATTTTATGATCTCAAATAAGTCTTCTACGTCCTACTGAGTATTTTTATTTGAAATACTCTGATACGAAGGATAAAATCGTATTTTTGATATCTAGTCGTATCTAGTAACTTGGAACTAAGTTCGAGTCTGTGACGCCATCTTGGAGATGTCACGAAGGTGATTTTACGATCTCAAATGGTTCTTTTACATTTTGTTGTGTATTCTTATTCGAAATATTCAGGATAAAATCCACACATCACAGTGTTTCATGGTGTCTAATAATTTGAAAGTGAATTCAAGTCAACGACGCCATCTTGAAAACGGTGATCTCATAATCTCAATCTGGATGTCTCTTTTATGTCCTTTTGAGTACTTTTACTTGAAATTCTTTAATAAGAGGATAAAATAATTCTTTTTGGACTATTTAACCCTAGAATTATCATCAGCTAGAATGACTGCTTCCTACTCGGGTAGTTACTAAAAATATGCATATGATTTTGATGAAAGTAATTGGTACTTACTCAGATAGAAATCTACGTTATGTACTTATTTACTTTCGACATATCACTTTAATTATTATTAATTAACATTAACGATTGGTATACAATAAAATGTAATTTAAACATCGTTTTTCCTAGAAAACTACGTTATAATACACCCTAACCCTGTCAACTCGCTTTCTAATATAAATTTACCACACGAATAAACTGACTCTAAAACTATCTATCATAGTTACTACGATATACGTGTACCAGTTAATATCTACTATACAAGCTATTATTATTATTTGATATTCACAAAATGCAGTAGAAGTTAACAATAACAAGTCAGACACGATGCCTAGAGCACATAACCTATTTACATGACTATTTGTATGACTATTTCCTCACTCGATACTCGTAATACGGATTTGGAAGGTCGGCTAACGTAATTTCAAGAGACATTAAATAATCTCATCTTCGCTATCAGGGCAATAAATAAACCTCCGACATTCTGGCATTCTCGAACCGCGAGTCGATTACTCGACGCCATTAACTCTCGACGATATAATTCGCCGCGTTAACGCTTCCAGCCGCCACTTTCGCCTAGTTACTTTCATAAATCACGTCTTAAATGACGTCGCGGTTTCTATTTGCTCGGTACCGATCCAATTGTGCAACTCGGAAAAAGGAAAAGCCGCCGGATCGTCCACGCAAATTTCTCCCGAGTGATACGAAATAAAATATATCGGACGAACGAGCCGTTTCCTCGGCCGTGAATATATTATCTTCAGATCGGCCACACTTTGTTACCATGCTTCCATCGATACGTTTCCTTTTGAAACTTGTTTTGTAACCGAGTGCCGTCATGCAGATTTTATTTTTACAAACAAGCTGTTCCACCTTTTTGTCGGACTGACTGCCGGTTGCAGCCGATCTTCGCGGTGCAGCTTCTTCTAACACGTTCAATCTTTTTCCATGAGTCATTCGAATTCCTCCGCATTCTTCCCTCGCCATCGTCCCGCGCCTTCCATCATCCACGTATTTATTAATCTCTGTCAAAGGTGCTACGCCAACTCAAACCTAACCTATACACTCTCCTTCTACTCCTTTTTCTTTTGTAATTATTTCGATTCAGAATTGAAAATGACTCGGAATATCTAATAGAATAGTTGGGTAAACCCTGGAATTTAGAAAAAGGATTTCGAAAACACGATTGCAATATAGTCGTCAAGAGTTAATTTAATTCGAGAGCCAGGGTAATCCAAACCTAACCTAAAATATTACTCCATAGTTTCTCTATTCTTTTTATATTTTTTAACAATTGTTTCATTTCAGAATTGTAAATGATATAGAATATCCAACTGAAAAGTTAAGCAATCGTTGGAATTTATACTTTTAGTAGAAGTTTCCCTGCTTGGGCAAATTTTAGATTGGGGAAATTGTTAAATTGTAAAAGTGCATTACGAAGTATTCGCTAAGAATTAATTCAATTCGTAGATAGTCATGGTAATTCAAACCTAACCTCAAATATTACTATATACTACTTTTGATTTTTCTTCTTTTTTTTAGTAAATGTGCCTGAATTGTAAATGATTTGGAATATCTAACAGAATAATTAGATAATCATTGAAATTTCCACTTTAAATCATTATTTATGTAATTATTTAAATAATTTCGAATTTTCCTAAATTTTCCTTCCAATCTAAAAATCAATTTAATTAATCGACAGTCACATTACGATTTCTTACCCCTGTGAAGCTACACCATGTACCCTCCAGCTTAAAAAAATTATTTTGTTCGATATTTAACCTAATATTTAATATTTACTAAAATTCTTATTATCTTAAAAATTTCCATTACATTTAACTACATTTATGCAAACAATTCCAAACAATTCCAAACCCAAAAGTTCTCCAAGAATCCGAAGCATCTTTCTGTTGGACGATTCACGAGCCACCCTTGCTATGAATCTGTTATTACCCTTGGCCAAACAAATTCCCTGAATCCCCCGACACCCGAGATTCACTTTTTTTTTCCATCTCCCAGCAAAGAATCCCCTTATCCCATTGGCCAGCGTCCAAATTTCGCGTGGCTTCGAGTCCGAAGGCAAGCAGCAGAGCTAATGGCCCAGCGAATCCTCCGGTCACGTAGAGCACGATCGGGCTTCAGGGTGCAGGGAATGCCGGAAAAGACAGAAAACCGACGACGACGGGGCAGAAAAGGAAAGATCGCATTCGCGTCACGTATAGAACCGCGAGAGGATCACGTTTGCGCCAACGTGGGACACCTTTGCTCCGGAATTCCAGGCCTGCCCTCCTTGTAACCCCTTATCTCTTCCCGGAGATGCACCCGGAAGACGTGCATTCCGCAGGATAATGCAACGTGACCGCGTCAAAAGTGTCCACTGCCCAGGTTCCAGGAGCTGATGTCTGGGTTGCGTGGCTTTGGTACCTGGAAGCACCTGAGCCAGCTTTAGTGGACAGTCAGGGCAACTGACCTCTGTTTGAGGAGACATCATCACAATGATTTTGTAGGATAAAATAAGAGAAAGTTTAAGAAGTAACTTAAAGATTAAAAACTAATAATGAAATTAATAATAAATTAATAAACCAATAATAAAGATACAAAACTAAAAAATTAAAAGATATATTATACTAAAATATTCCCAATATGTCTAAATTTGAAGAACACCTAAATACTTCAGTTGCTTAAGTATGAATTCATCTGATCATCTAATTCCCCAAAATATATTTCTCTATGTAGCATGCCAGTGTAAGATACCTAGAAAAGATACAGAAATTGCTCTTAAGAAGTTATACAAGTATAAGAAAATATAGAAATGAAAATGCAAGTAAGATCTGAATACAAAAATATAATTATCTTCCTTTTATAACCTTTCTCCATTTATACTTATTACTTTATATTTATCTCTTAATCAGGAGATCTAATCAATATATAAGAAATCACGAGTATATTAATTTTTCTCAGAATAGGTCACAGAGATATGATTACAAGTTGGACTATTTCCATCTGATTTGCATGGATCACAATTCTACTCCCCTATTCTTATGTAACCGAAGAAATTCACGATCGACAAGAGGAATAGTAGCGGAACGCTATCGAACAGATATTTGTACAATGATGACCCGATTCCATTGGCGTCTGGACGACCAAATAATTGATCAACCAAGAGATAAGCGTTATCTTCGATAAAGATAATCGTCGTGGAATTATGACTCCTACATGCGTTATTCAGAATTGTTTACACTGAACATATTTTTCCAATATTATAATGAATATGTCCTTCATTATAAATAAATATGTACTATTATTTTCAATTTCCTTTTTCCAATCCAAGATTATTCCTGCAAACATATATATATTCCCGTTAATCTTGGACGTAACAGTTCACTATTGTAATTTGTTAATTAATTATTCATAAGATTCTAATTGCATCATTAAGTTGGTATTAGAAGCATATTATATATTACATGCATTGGAATTAAAATTCATTCCTCGCTGTTGAATGATGACTCAATAAAATTACGTAATTTTGCAAGATAACAGGAGGAATGTGAAAAATCTATACTCCTTGTGAAGAAACTTAGAAGTGCTATTCTCCTGTACCACTTTTCTAATCGCATTTTCTTCGTGTCGTATCTTTTTCATGAATATTCCGATAATCATAATAAAAATAGATAACACTTCTGTCTCTTTAAATTAGTTCTAGCTGTATATATAAAAAAGGTATTGCATTTTAGCAATAACAATTTTAATTTATTAGAGACACCTAACCAGTTTCAGATTTATTCCTTTTAGTCCTCGGGTTGGAAAGAAATTACTAGCTGTAATAGTAATAACCGATTAAAACGAAAGGTTTCGTAAATGCTTATAACTATTTTATATACCTCGTTCTAACTAGCTTGACATTTTATCTGCGAAATTATCTAGCTGAGATTAAATATCCGAGGATGTTAATAATTTTATAAACCGGAAATGATATGTCGCCGACAGACTTCCGACGAGAACGACCATTAGACTGTGACTGTGTTCCAATGAATCATTTTATCGTGTAGCAGGGCTTCAAACGGGTACAAAGTCTCTGGTCGAAATAAAAGAAAAATTTCTGCTAGAATAGATATTTATTGTCGACGTCGAGATTAGCAATGTCAACAATCGGCTTACCATCTTTGTCGAAAGTACCCCTATACATCGATTATACGTCTATTAATGCGATTCCGAAAATTACACTCCGTCCAATAGCAATTATATTTCTTGTCCGTTGCAAACTTCCATTCCTATGTAACTCGCTATCAACATTTTTTAAAATCGCACTTTAATATCAGTACCTTCGCTAAAATTACACGACAGTACCATAATTAAATAATAACAATCTTAAGATATATACCGATTACTATAATTACACCATAGGATTACAAAGTCTGTTGAAACGTAAACATCAATAGCCAATTCAATAAAACACACACTAGGCTGATAAATTCTTCGTAAAATTTCCTGAAATTGAAGTTCAATATTAATCTACTGAACAACTTAATTCAAAATTAAAATTACCTCTCGGGTTATACATCGTAATAATTCCGCCATTTTTCCCTCGCAAATTCAACATCGACAATTTCCTAACCTTACCTTCAAACTACACTTTGCATATATATATATATATTATACACCCCTTATTAATTCGACGTTGATATAAACATTCTTCTACAAGTTTCTTCAAAAATTTGTCAAAATTTCCACTCACCGAGACGAGCACCAGATGCGAAAATCGCGATCAAAGTAGCATATTCCCTGTCATCGTAATCGAAGCCCTCTTAACGGCTCAGGAAGCAATTGATTCCAGCGGCAAGAAGAAACATGCGCGCGCACGCGTGTCACTGCAACCGTCGACCGCCGTTTCACGGAAAAGAATCACGCACTGTTCGTTCGAAGAACTATCTCGATCACGAGTAGAACGATTCACTGTTTGACCGATTAGAAGCTCGAATAATACGCTGTAATAGGTACGTTTTCTTCTTTTTCCCTTCAACAGGATGATATTTTCACAAACACGGCAGAAATTTTGAATTAAAGCTATACCGCAGATCAGGTGCGCGGAACGTGTGGAGAGAGCACGAACGAGCAGCAGGTACGGCGCAGCCTTCGCTGCTCGAGCAACAGGTAGACACTGTGGAGAGAGGCGAAGATGGGAATGGAGCGAGTGTGCCACTCGGATAGACGGATCCGAATGCCGACGAGCGGGACTAAATGTAAGGCAACGTTCACAATGCGATGACGGATGGCGCTACGGTCTTTAGCCCGCCGATAACGTGTTTCGGATGACAGAGAAGAGATATTTGGTAATCCTCTGTAATCCAGCGGACGCTTAACTGCGCAACATTAATTTCTACCATAACCTCAAATATCGTATAATTAGCAGTCGATAAACGACTCATTAATGTTTCATTACGAGTGGCGCTGCAGTCGCTGGGTTTCCCATGGTATTATATACGCGTATTATTACAGGATAACAATGAAGTTAGAAGAAATTCATTAGTCTGAGAATTGTAATACTTTACGAAATATTCTTTCTTATGGATGCGTAATAATTATGGAACAATTATCCTTATGGGTACGTAACTTACGAAGCTTAAATACTATTTAACTGCCAATATAACACAGGCATTTTTTACAAAACTTATTACTCTTTCTAGGTCCATTCTACATTTACTTAAACCTCGTCTGAGTGAGTACAGATATTTACATTCAGGAATTTCTTGTAGAACAAGTAATGTATGAGGTATATTACAGGAATCGTGTCATTTTCGACGACGAATTCGAAAACCTAGCACGGATTCGTCCCGTTTCTTCTCGTCAAGAGGAACTATGTCAAGAAAACGAAACCTTCCCAGAGAATTCTCGAATTCCACCAATAAACCTAGGCGTTTACGAAACCCCGGTGGTGGGGGGATGGAAGTTATCTGTCCGGTCCCGCCGCCGCACTAACGCAGCCTCTCTTATCGGTCTTATTAATCATTCAACGAGCGTAACGTGGTTGCATGAAATGGAAAGAACGTATCGCGCAATTGTACGTAACGAGAAGGTTAACAAATTGTGCGGCTAAGGATGTCATCTATCAGATCGACTCGTGTTACGATTATCGCACAATCTGTCCCGAGACTCGTGTCACGCGTGTCTGCTGCTCTTTACGTCTCTTTCAGCAATTATATAACCAACATATGCGCACCGCTATGCCGTTTCATAGTCAATCATTAACTTCGCACAGACTACAAAGTATACGAAACTCGTCGAGCCAAACCTCCTCGATTTATGCAAATTAAATCCCGTTGAAGTTAAAAATAGAGTTTCGAAATGACCTCGAGTTTATAGAAATCGTGGGGAATTTTATTTCAGTTTCAAATTTTTTTAAAATGCTTTTAAAGTTCTTTAATATGTTGACTATCATGGTGATCAACAGTGACCTATGCTTGTTGCCTTGATGGGGCCATAGTGGTCACCAGTGTCCGGCGATACTAACTTTTTTAATTTATATTTGTTTTATTCTAATCTTCAATTTTTGAAAATTTGAACAACGTAATAGAGAATCTTTAATAGAAGATGTTAATAATTTGCACCATTTCTTTCTTGCCATATTGTTTGATAATTCGTCATTATATCGTAAGAATATTGGCAATTTTATTAAGCCCCCCTGAGCATAGCATATAACAAGTACGTGGCAGTCAAAGTGTTAACCTCTTAAACATTTTACCAAGCTAGAAATAGAAAAACTTTTTAAATTTTCGTAGGTATTTTTAATTTCATTTAATTTTTTAAATTTCCCTAGGTATTTTTCCCTATTCTATATGCCTAACAGTAAATAAATTTTAAAAAATTTGTATTGCGTCGTAAGGATAATTTATATAACTATTCGTGAAAGGATAATTGAGTTGCACGAGGGGAGGTTAATCTCTTGCCAGGTTTGCTGGAAATTTTACAGCAATGAGAAGTAGGCTGATTCGTGCAGGTAGTTCGAGCATAATGGGTCAGTCAGAGATTCAATTAAGAGAACCCTCGCATACGTGACTGACTGCGAGGGATTCGCTTTCCATTCAGATCGACCATCTCGAAATCCAGCGAGGGATTATCTCGTAGTTAATCGAAGGAAACTTCATCAGTGGAATCTATCTCAGGCAAAGAGTTGCTCAAAGTTTCCTCTATTTTCTAATTTCTGAGATCCTCAGCTGGATAGAATCACGTTCGTCATTGTTTTCACTTTTTACGTTCAACATATAATTTCACACCGATGTCTAATTTATTTATCAAACACGAAATTAAAGGTTCTGCCACGGGGAAAAACGAGGACAGGGAAAAATTACAAATTGTTGGAAGATTTGCACAACTTCTTCAACGCACTCCCACACGGAGAACCACAATTCCCTCTTCCGCGAGAAACTCTGAATTTCTATTAGGATTCATCAAACCACCTTCGGACTTCATTATACCGTAATAGTAGACGCATGGCATAATAGTAGACCCACTGTACAGAACACATTTCCATATATTAAAAAACCAGATACAATGTCAGAACGTATCTTCACACTCCTATAATACCAGTCATATCGTATGCAACACGCCTTCGTTAGAATGCTTAGAGCATCTCTTTATACACCATAATAGTGGGTATAATTTCCACGTATAATGACACTGACAATAGGTAAAATACATTTCTATGGTATATTAACAAACATATTAATTAGAACCTCATAATTTGTTACAGCTGACACTCTGTATGGGACCTACGTATTACGATACCAAGCACAGCATACGCTATACATTATCTCCATTCTATGTTAGTAAATATAATCAGAGTATCCTGATAATATTCTGATTATTCTCCATAACCTACAATACAACGTGTGCATTATACAAACACTATTCCCCATATACTATCTTCATTCGATTCGTATTACTTCTGTGCAACTGTACATACATATTTCCACACCATACCGAACGCATCAGGCATCTAAGTTGCAACCCTAATTACACCCACACGAAAAAAAGAAAAAACTGGAATTACGTCAATATGATTCCCCATGTACCATTCAGAACGTACATCTACATATTGCAATGGTAAAGTACATAGCTTCGAATTACACTGAACAACCGAATCACCCAATCCACGACCCTAATTACACCCACGCCAGAAAAGGGGAAAAAAGTTGCTCCATCGTGGTATCTGATGAATCGAAAGTGGAGGCGAGAAAAACAGCTGGTCCCAGGGTCACCGGGTTGGTCCGTTGTGAATGGACCCGTACTCGACGTACAGAGCCGGCGTGGTGGGGGTTCAATCATCGCAATGAATTACAACGAGCCAGTCACCGAGAGTGACTCACTACGCTGCTCTAGCCGCTGCAGCCCGATAAAGCTCTTTTTCTTTCCCTCCTCGTGCCGGAGGAATTCGAGAGAGCCCGGGAGCAGAAAGAGAGACGCTGGAGAGGCGAACAGAAGCGACCGCTTATGAATCATCCGAGTACGCGGGCAAAATGCGTCGGAGGAGGGACACGAGTCGGAGAACAAGAGGACTTTCGTTCGTGGCGACTGCCAACCTAACGGGACTTCTAGTGCTCTTAATGGCACGGCTGTGTTCTTTGTTGCGGCCGAGCGAGAGAATTTTAAGACACGACGAAGCGGAATGCTCGAGGACGACACCTTTCGGTGTGAACGATGCCTTTATATCTTCAATCGTGAAGTTATAGCGAGACGTGACGTAAATCGGGATCTAGGGAGTTCGAAGTTGTAACCAGAATTGGGTTAGGAAGCGTTTAGGTGGAGCTCAAGTCAGAATGTATTATGGGAGTGAGGCTACAGGCAGGGTCGAAGATATTGGACACGCGGGGACGCGACCCCCACCACAGGCGACCGCGCGTACCCCCACTCCTGGCTGCGTGCCGCACCTTCACTTTTATTAGACGCACGCATACGTACAGAAATGTTAACCCGTGACGTTCTATTTTGATAAATGACGTTATAATTTTAATTTATGAAATTAAATTCAACGAAATCGAACTTCTATATATTTTATTTCATATGTTTTACTATATTATTGATGCTTGTATTTTAAATTATGCTGTTCTTTTATGTTACTACATATATCACTAGCTACAGTCCATTGTTTGCTATATTTGATTATTCAACACTGTTGTGTCACGCGAGATTTGAATTTTGCGCCATTTGTACGGTAAAGTGTTGCCAACGAAAAGAAAAACAGCGTGACAGTTGACAGTTCAGGGTTACTAAAAATGGAACGATACACGAAAGAACAACGCGTCTTTGTTTAATTAAAAACCTGTGTTTTCTATCAAAATTATTTGCGTGAATTTTGGAACGCCTTATATATTTTCAACTACGAAACAATTAGAAACAATTAACAAGAAAACAATTAGAACGGGGTAAAAATATTCGTACAAAGAGAAGAAGAATCAATCAAGGTTTCAATGAAAATATCCAGCTCTTTCTATAGCAGGACTATACCAAAGAACCTTGACCACCTACCAAAGCAACCTAACCTAAAACGACCATTGAAATTCCATCCCGTAGCGCGACGAATTACGAAACAGTGGAACTACCCGAATAAACGAGTCGGACTATAAAATTCGCAATTCGCCATTACGTTAGTGGCTAATAGAATAATAAAACGCCTAACCTTCGCAGAAGCTCGTATCGATGACTAATTCCTATGTATCAGGGCTGCGTAGGTTCGCTTTGCGGAGCCTCGCCAGAATTCATATCGGCAGGACAACCGTGAAAAATCGGATTTCACGTGAGCCAGCTCCTTAAGTATCCTCTGGTTTCTTTTTTCAAGCGGGCGCTCTCTCGGGCCGCGCATACCGTGCCAATTATTCTCCGCACGGAAGTTCCACGGCATGGCGTGAGAGATTGATGCGAGAGTCGATGCACTCTACGCTTATGTTTTATTCATACCTTTCACCGGGTTCGATAAGAAAATTATATTTAAAGGCGAACGCGGCCGGGTAATGTCGCGGGAAAAGAGAAAAGCGGCTCCTGATCCCCGTGGAAAGTAATACCGTTCTTCGATTCACGATCGGATCCCCGTTTTCGGATTCTGTCCCGGCAATTTCGTCACTTCGCCGGTAGATGGCGAGCGGTCCGCGAAGTTTTATCTCCGTGGGGAATTATTGGTAACTCTATGGCGCGCGACGCAGAGTCGACTACGATATGCAAGGTTCAAGGCGACTGGTATTTGAAGGAATTTGCATATCTCATATTTCGCATGCCGAGAGATATTAGGCTAACTTGAATTAAATTAAGCGGTTCCGGATGAATTTTGGATAATCTAAATTAAGTTACACTCCAGCCGTACTAATACGAATTAAGATAGGTTAAATCGGGCAAATTGTTTAAATTAAATTCAAATCTAAAACGACTTAAGCTAGATTAAGTTAAATCGAGTCGCGCGGACTTGAATCGAAGTAAGTTGAATTGAACGGGATTAAATTAAGTCCACGTAAGTTAAAGTAATTTAGTTCGGTTAAGTTGAATTAACGAGTAGCGACGAGATTAAGTTAATACACGTAAAATTGATAAATCGCATTGGCTTAAATTATTGTTTCAAGACATTGTCTCGATAACTTAACGTCTATCCTAATGGATTTAAATATCACTTTTCTAATTGAACCATATTCGAGTCCAAACTTTTCTTTGTCCCTTGCACGATCACGTTCGACTGGAAAAGACTTTGCTCCATATCCAGATGGCACAAGACTTTCTCATCGTGGAATGGAAATAATCGACGTGCATGAGAACGCACGTAAGACGCGTCCTATGCAACCTATGCTACGTTCAACGAGGTAATTAGACAATTGTGAGTACGGACGAAAGTCTCGTCGATTATTACCTTCATGAAAGTCCGTTTCTACGAATTGGTCTCGAAAGCACGTCCCATTGACCTATCGTCACGCAGCTCACAGTCACTCACTTTTTCCCTTTCTTCGGAACACGTGGAATTTTAAAATAGAAATGAATTCCATGGAATTTGTAGGTTAGTGCAAATCCAACCTTTACTTTTTCCAAGTGTCATTTTGAGCCGTAATACTATCCTGTAATCGATAATCGCTATACAAACGAAGGACATGCTTTTTTTGGGGGCCATTAAATGGCACCTTTGGGACCATTTTTCATGCAACTTCGAGTGACTCAAAAAATTTGAATGTCTTTTCTTCTTC